TTATTTTGGATTTTGAAATCTCACTACCGCCAATACCAGAGTTTGAAAATAAAAGTTGAAATTTTATATTCTCATTTTGGATTTTCAAATCTCACTTTTTATTTTTTTCATGAATCTCACTACCTTAGAACTTGACACTATATACTTTTATTTTATAAAACTGGGGCATTTTATACCTACAGAATTTAAAGTGCTACTAGGACTTCAAATTTAGTTTGGCCTTTAAACGCTTGATACACTTTAAATTTTAAACGAAGGGGTTTTGAGGTTTCGAGTTTATGTGCGTGAGCATTCCCTTTAGGATTGTAAAAACATTTTTAATTAATAAGGAAAGGCCTGAGAATGACAAATTAATTAGTTATTAGTAAGAGAAAAAAAAATTATTACAATAATTAAAAAATTGTTGGATGTTTTGATAATGTTCTTCATACACGCATTAATGCTAAAGTAATCACAATTTAATAATAATTATCTACAAGCATGGCAATTATGTGATGACTTATATATTGTCTTTATTTCACGAGTCAATATTTCGAGAACACAATTTTAGTATTATTCTAGTATTAAAAGTGACTAAAAAGTCTCAGGAATTCCAAAATATGGTCCACCATACATGTTACCTTCAAACTTGAAGGAGATACTAAAGAAATTTATCCAAATTTTAATTTATGACAGAAAATTGTTCTTATATTTATCAACTAGACTTTCTTATTTATCAACTTTTAAAAACCAAAGATTTTGATTTTTTATTGGAACACCCTGTAAGAAAGTCTTAAAAAGGTCCTCTATTTAATAACCTCGCTGTAAAACAACCAAGCATTTAATCATACTTAAAAACTTAACAGTAGTAGCCTTGAAACATAGTATTCATGAATTTCGTTCATTAAAATTTACCACATAAAGTCTAACGAATTAGAGAAAGAAAAGAATAATTATCCCATGGATTCCCGCTTTATAAATTATCCTGCAACTCCCACAACTGTACTGAGTTTACTGTCTTTTTACTTGCATGTTTAGTTTACAATGGTTTACCTTATTTTGGTTTTGAAACATACAATCTATAGATTTAATTATTCAAAACACATATTCAACTACATTTAACACTTGAACACAATATAATATACAAAAATAATATAATAATAATATAATATATATAATATACCCAAGTTTAGGCGGAATTGCTAAAGAAACGATTTAAAACTTGGTCACAAACTATGATTTTCTATTCCCTACATCTTTGCAACCCAATGTCGTAGACCATGAATTTGCAAATTATCTAAGTTTACATCATCAAGTTTCAAAGATATATGGAACTCTTTATTTGTTGTGGCAAAGATTCATTAAAATCAAGTACGTCCGAAACAAAAACAACAATGGACTTGAATGTTTATTAATACATCTATTTTTAAATCTGTACTACTGTTATGGAATGCAGAATAAATACCAGCGGATTTTATTAAAAAAAAATAACACGAAGAATTCATTTATAATGTATATTGTACACAAACTAAATGCATTTGAATATAGTAGTTTATGACACTGGACAATTGTGCTACAAGGAATATGCGTTTTATCGTACCCCTGAATAATATGGAATCAGTTGAAAACATGTAGATACTCAAAGATTATTTGAGAATATTGCGATAAGGAATTTGCCTCTAAATAGTATGGGTTCAGTTGAAAACATGTAGATACTCACAGATTATTTGAGAATATTGCTTTAAAAATTCCCCGAATGTTCTAGTAAGAAAAATTGTCATTAAAAATGTCTCAGATTAAGCCTGAGAACCAGATGTTGATCTTCAAGTAGTTTGCCAGTTGAAATGGAAATTTAAATCATTTCTTTAAATTTTAATGGACTTGAACACCATTATTTGTAAAACAAAGATATGGACTACAACATGAAAGCCAATATACTAAGATTATAAGTATAAAAAAGGAGAATCAAAAAAAGTCACAATTTTAAAAATATTACAAATTTTGAAACCCGGAATAAGTAAAGAAAGTGACTAAAACAAAATTATAATTTTAATGTTTAAGCGGTCAGGTATTATCACTGCACTGAGTTTAAAGGGACTGTAAGCGTTAGTTCAAATGACCCTCCATTAAAAGAGGGCAACGTGTTGAGGTCAGACTGTACGCAACGCACACCGGAATTCGCAGCTGAATACACGTGGGTTTTGATGAGTTTACACACACATATCTCTGTTCTCATTATAAATCGGGCCTTACCCTTTGTGCGTGGAAGATCAAATGAAATAACGCTTTTTCTGTCCCTTTAAGTGGTATCTCATTGCACCGAGCTTAACAAGACAGGATAATTACAATATGCATTATTTTGCAGGGCAATCAGCGTAACCGATCAAAATTTTTAAATAGCATCATTAAATAGTATCAGAAGTTTGTGTTGATTTAAAAACAAAATTTAATATTTTATCAAATTTGATCGGTTCCGGGTTCCCGTATTTACAACCAAGACAAAGCATTACAATATAACTTTAACATATTTTATTAAATTTTGATTTTTGATTTCATACACAGAACAGATTTACCTACGAACAGTTCTTAAATAACGATTGCGATGTCTATTATTATCGTTGAATTTTTTTTAAAAATGCGTAGAACTTATCAAATCCGCTCACATGCAGAGGTTGAGATCTAGAATTATTACAGAAAAGTTTGTTAGGACGGTTTAACAGGGAAATATTTCGGGACAGGATCTAACAATTTTAAATAAGGAAAAATAATTTTTTTTTTATAAAATGCGAGATCAAAATTACGGAACACAGGATAAAGAATACAGAACAGAATTATTTAAAAAAGGAATTTTTCAGCTTTAGAAAATATTTTTGGAAATTGTCAGCAAAATGTTATGCAATCAGTTGATTACAACAAAGTGGTCGTGTCAACATTTAGATAACGGTTAGAAGAGTTTGACTTCAAATTGTCGAATCTATTTTGATATGGTAAAAATCTAGACAAGCTGAAACTTGATTGACTTATGAAAATTCACGAGAGTTTAAATTTTGTGTGGAAAAGTGGTATTTTTGTTAATGGCAAAAGACGGAATGTCTCGGCGGGGCTAGAAATCGTTTGACGACTAGTTTAAATTTGGCATCAACATAAACAAACCGGGAAGTAAGGTTTACAAATAAACTCACTAAATTGAAATATATCATTTCTATAAATACACGTTTTCCTCAAGATATCCCCAGCACAAAATAGATTTAACATTACAAACTAAATATTAGTTAAATATATAAATATACGTCTACCCTCTACATTAACATGATTAAAGGGGGGGGACCCCTTTACTCTTCACATTTTTAACAAGGGAATGGAATGATATTTACATCTAGGTACAGCGGTACGGTAACAACACTTTTGATCTGAACAATTGTAAAATCGGGACGAATTGTTCCAATTGATGGATATGTTTCAGTTCTAGCTTTATCACCAGTATGTGCAAAATACTTGTGCTCATTTTCCATCACTTCTTATTTGACAGATTTTGACAAGTCACAAAAGCATCACTTACGATTTGTTTTAAATATCAGTGTTTCAGATCCATATCATTTTGATTCGGATCCGGATCCGCGGATCCGCATCCGTGATGATGGATCCGGATCCTGACTCTGATACGGATCCGGATCCGAGGTAACTTTTGATTCTGTGAATCGGATTTTCCCTATTAAATGTTATGCAAGGTTATAATTTATAACTATAGTAATCCTAAAGTTAAAAATGTCGTCATTACTATTATATAAATGTAAACATTAAATTATTAAAGATAATTTTGAAAAATTTTCGTCATGTAAATAATACATTTACGAACCATTTTGATTTATTTATTCCATGGTTTTGGTTAATTTTTGGCGCTACCCGGATCCATATCAACGTTTCCTGATACGGATCCGGATCCGACCAAATGATACGGATCCGACCGGATCCGGATCCGAAACGCTGTTAAATATAATAATGTTTAATTAGTTATGATATATTCTTCTAAAACTTGTGTCTCCTGAAAAAGAAGATCTACTAAAATGTCATCTTCGTGTGTCAGATTCAGGTGGTACTTTAGTCACGTGATCATCATTTAATTTAGTTCATTGATTAGTTAGAAACGAGATCATTGATCTTGTTTAATGTCAAAGTACTTAACATCAGAGCAGAATTTGCTTGAAGAATAAATGTAAATTTAGAATATTTGGCAGCATCCTTTTTTACCCGGCGGTGGTCCAACCACTTCAACACTACTGGCTGCAAACTTCTTCCTGCCGCTGGATGGACTAGAAGTAGAGCCTGTATTCTCCTGAGATATTAATCTCTCTCTCCGCTCAACGTGAGGTTTCATATTGACAACAGGTTCCTTCTCCATCCCTGATGTCGAGTTGATGGATATATTTGATGATGAATTGCTTCCTGAAACCCGGTTCTGGGATCTAGTTCGCTTGAGGTCCGCCAGGGTTCCGGAGGAGGAGAAATTACTCTGTGAAACCACTCCTGGGTTAATGGTAACGGAAACATGGATGTTTATTGGTTCGGTTCCACTACTACTATTCGGCCACATTGAAGAGGATCCGGTTGGAGGTACCAGACTTGCAGTTATACTCGGAGACTGATCCTCAAGATTAGATTGTCTCCGGTCGGACCTGGAGGGACGAACCGGAGGACTTTCCAGGTCTACGCTCTTGGGTTGAGGAGAAACATGTTGAACTGGTTTATTGGACGGAGAGGAGAAGGAGGTGGGAATGTTTAACTGAACGTCTCCAACATCAACAACATCGTCCGAGTGTTGAAGTTCGTCCAGGTTGGATTCTTCTCTAGAGGGTTTCGTTACTGTTTTCATATAAATCAATCCTTCCTCAGTCACATCCTTCTTCGTAGTTTTCATCTTATCCCGGAGTGAAGTTCTACGGATTGAGTGGGTTCGGGTTGAGGAGGAACGACCACGTTTCCCCCTGGGTTCCGACAATCTCAGTCTCTGTTCTGCAAGCTCGACTAATCTATCTTTAATATCCGGATCCTCGGTAATATCAAACGGAGTTTCTCCGGACTTGGTGAGAGCACTGATATCTGCTCCGTTCTGTGCTAGTATCTCTACTGCCTCAAGATGTCCCCAGCAGGCTGCAGCATGTAGAGGCTGCCAGAGGTCTAGGTCTGTAACCTCTGTTGAACAATGATTGTCCATTAGAAACTCAAGTACAAGAAGGTATCCGTTCGCTGCTGCAATATGGAGTGGGGTTGCACCATACTCATCTCTGTAATAAATATATGCCTGGTAAAACGAAATTTTGAATGATGTGAAGTTTCTTCCATCCTTTCATCTATTGCAATGAAAGATTTTCAATTAAAAAGTTAATTTGAAATTCGTAGAAACTACTGATGCTGAGAAGCTCAATTTCTGAATGTACTTTCATTCTTTGAAAACTTGAAATATCTTTATGGCAATCTTTTACTTTATATATCATGTCTTGGTTATGCATTTAAAAGATGGAAAGACAGGAAAAATTGTATTTTTCAAATCGATCAAATAGATTATAATGCTGAGGTATATATTTTCAAGAATTACGATTATAGATTACATATTTACTAAAAAGTATAGGAATGTCCGGTAGATTGAAACATTAAGGGTTTTGTGACATTAATTCTCTCCATTAACTCTTCAGGCTTTGATAAATATAAAAGATTCTCGTTTTCTTTGAACTACTACCTAGAATCTTGGGAAAAATGTAAATTGGGACATTAAAAGGCAAGTTCTTCAATCTTGATCCTATTTCATGATTTATAAATTTCTTTATTTTCCCAAATTAAGCGATTAATACCGAAAAAAAACATACCAAGATTCTTGGGAGAAAATTATATTTAAAAGAGGAGGGGGGATGACATTTCAAGAAAATATGCACACCCGGTAATAATAAAATAGTATGAACCTGAACTCCAGGTCCCCTTCTTCCTTAGCCAGTGCTATCAGATCCTTGAGCATCTTAGTTTCAGTCTCTGCTCGTGTTAAATCAATAAGATCCTGGGTAACCCCCCTCTTCGCCATCTCGTTCTCAATAAATGAGAGAGTAGTCTCGTCCTCGCAGATATCGTAGGGCATATTTCCGTCTCCGTTTACCGCCAATAGGTTTGCACTTTTCTCTTAAAAAATAGAAAATTATATTAACGCGTAATATAATTATTAATTGTGTTTATATTTACAATTTCAGTTTTTTCTATTTAAGTGGTGTTCCAGACAAAAGGTTAATGGTTTAAATGTAGATATTAAAATTATAAAATATGTAAAAATAAGACCATAACTCAATACAAATAAAGTTGAACTTTACCAGTACTAAAAAAGTAGTATTGAAAGCTAGCTTAAAACTGACCACTTTTTCACAATACGAGGATATAATAAGTAAAATCTTTTCATCACTTTTTTTCAACACTAGAATTAAATTAAGAAATTAAATGACTAACTAAATGACTATTACTTGACTTTTCAAAGCATTTATTTTACAGATTATGTAAGTTAGACTGAAAGTGTAATTTCAAGTGACCCTTCATGCAAAGATGGCAATGTCTGATTCACTATGATACTTTTATAAGTTTTGTATAATTAAGTATGAAATAGATTTTAATGTTTATCATTTTTAAAACTGATTATTTTAAATTGTGATTTCTCTACAGTATGAGTTACGAATTTCTAAGTTGCAATATATAAAATTATCGACACTTAACATTTTCAAACCTGGAGAAATGACAATATCTTCCTCATTATTGATCAGATAACGGTTTCTAGGGTACCGTTGTAAATCAGGCATAGTCATCTTGAATTTACGCGTACAGTGTCTTTAAGCTATTGTAAAATAGAAAGATCTAAAGAATGCCCTTGCCCATCAATGAATTAAAAAAGCAGGATGTTACCGATTAAGAATTTGACAAGATGAAGATGACCGCAGGTTGCAGCGGCATGAAGAGGAGTCCACTGCTCTGAATCCGCGGCATTCACATCTGCTCCGAACTCAACCAGTACCTGTCAAAGAATTGTGGATGAAGAAAAATATAATTTTAACAAATTTGTCTACTAAAATCATGCAAAAATCATGTCAAATTATATTATTTTAACAATTTAAGATGTTTATTTTCAAAGCGGGTTGAAGAAATTTTTGAAAATCCGTCATGGTGTAGATTCTACACCACGACACTGTAGAATGAGTCAGAAAATGTATTTATCCTGTTCTGAAACAGTATATTTCCACTTAAAGGCAAATTTAATGGAATTACAGGAAACAACATCCAAATGGTGTAGAGGAATTTAAACCCGTCTTTTTGTTTTCCCAAATTCCCAGATACCAGATTTAATAAATAGCGAGAATTAGTTAAACTAAGTAGACTAAGATGAAACACTTCTCTTCAACTTGAGAAGTGGTTCAATTACATCAACGTAGTTCAACTACTCTAAATTCATCAAATTGATTCCCTGTCCTTTTAAAAAGACCTTCCCCCAACACCCGCTCCCCCCCCCCCCTTCTGTTCCAGATCAAGTTTGGGCGTGGGTGCATGTTTTATATCGTTTGTACATTTAGAGAAAGTAACAGGGAAACTTTTTCAAGAATTGACTGATATAACTAGAGGTAGAATTCTTACTTTCATCATTTCTTCACTATCATCTATACAGCACTGATGGAGAGCTGTTAATCCGTCCTCATTAGTACTATCAGGACTAACCTTGAGCTCCAGGAGCCGTCGAACCTTAACAATATCCATCCGATCTTTTAAAAGATCAAAAATAATTGGGTAAAAATTGTCACTGCTTTTTATCATTGTCTAATGGGGATTTTTTACTTATTTGTCCTTTTGTTTAACCAGGAAACAAAAAAAATTTACTGATTTAAAAATTAATTTTTCTAATCTATACCTCATCTAGATCATTCCTAGCCGCTGCTTCCAGCAACATGATGGAGGGGACGAAGGTTATCTTGTCAACCTTCTTCTCCTGCTCCGAGGACAAGCCGGCCTTCTTCTTCAAATTGTACTCCCTCTCCCTCTGTGCCCATCTTTTCAATTGCTGTCCCCTTCTCTTCCTGAGATTTAAAAAATGTATCAACTTCCGAATGTGACTTTAATATGGCTGCAGAATATAGATGTAGAAAAGAATTTTTATATGTGTCATTCTAATGCTTGTAAATTTAACTTTTCTAATGTAATATTTGAATAATAAAAAAAATTATTCGTTAACAATTATTTGAAAACTTAAATCTTAAGTAGGGCGCAGGAAATGACTTAAACTGGTAAACATTCAGGTAATTCTGGATTAAAAATTTTGATTTTAAATACAATAAATTTCTTTTGCTTTACCTTGCTAGCCGTAATCTTTCGGCTGTGGTGAGACGATCAATTGTTGCCATCTCCTCCACCAGTTCTCCATGCTCCATCCTGTATACCTTCTCCGCTCTCTCTGAAGTCTCCAATCTCTAGTCTCCAATCCTTACATATTCTCCATCCTGTAAGATTTACATATTCTATTCTTTAGGAATTCATATCTCTCCAAGCATACTCTCAGACTCCAGTCTTAATACTTACATTGTTAATCTGAAATAATAGAAACATTATTCTTATCTTTATTCGGCTGTAGCAATTATATTCGTGTTCTATTGGATTCAAATATTTACAACCAATTAATCATAACTGTATAAACTTTAGTTATGTGACTGCATATTTATAAAAGTTAAGTAACAGAATCATTATTATTCAAGTTTTAGGATTTATTCTACTGCTTTATAATTAATTATGTTAAACATAATTTGCAAATAAATAAAAAAAGCTGTAAACCCTTTCAATGTTTAGAAGGAACTTGAAATTCAGAAAATTGAAAGCTGTTCTGTTGGCAAATTCCCACATTTCAGATTGATTTGATTTGGTGCATTGGAAACAAATATTTAGAACGTACAACTCCTAAGGAAGTTTCCTTTATTTAACTTTTGTCTAAATCTCAGGGAAACCTTGAAGGACGATAATTCTGAGACATGACTCAACTTTGGTCGTGTGGCTAGGAACTTTAAAAATGACAAAATCTAGTATTAATTTAGTATTATATTTAAAAAAAGTCCGGCTGAATAACCAGAAACTGGAATGGACTTGATCCTCCATTCCACTACAGGAGTCTAATGTCATCCCTACCCCATGTTATCAAACATGACGAGGACAACAATTCCCAATTTTAAACTTTTTTAAAATAAAAATTATAATAGTAGTTCATTTTATATAAAATCTATTGACCGTTCTCAAGACAATGTCAGGTTTTCCTTTTTCGAACATATCCTGAATTTGAAACATTGTCGCGTTTTCGAGAAAAAAAAACACTTTCCCGCTTTTGAGTATAATCCCCAATTCAAAAAAATCTAACTTTCATAAATTGCAAAATATATATACTCTTGAAAAAGATAACTTTGCAGATTTGGCCCATTTCTAACAGTCAGTGATAGAAATGGGCCAAGTGTTAGTTTTGGAACTAAAATCCCCTGGATTTGGAACGCACAAGACCCGTATCCCCACTGTTCGATTATCCATAAACTCCCTGGGGTCATGTGATGTCCCATACAAAATTTGTTCCCGATCGATTCAGCCGTTTTGGCGTGTGACCCTTGAAAATAACTAGAAAATCTACCCCATGGACAAATTCCAGTCTGTACACGCATCTAACCTCATGGTGGTTTATCGATCCCTTTTGGTTTTAAACAACTTTTTTTCTAAAACCAACAAAAATATGGATATTCATCAACATGTTAAAGTGTAACAGAAGTGGAGAGTGAACAGTGAACACACATATAGCTCACATGTGGAGGTAACTTTGCTGATTTTCGGCTCAATCTTAAAAATCGTATGCTTGGACGGACATACGAGCTCTATGTATAAAAGGCGTTCTCTATGAGATTACCGAAAGTTCCAGATTTAGGCATGCTGACAAGCCGTGGCACTTGTAGCTTAATGCAAGGTTTTCAAGATTGTTTTAAAAGTTAAAATGGTATATTGAAATTTAAAGAGATAAAAATTGTATCGTTCCAAAAATTGTCAAATGTTTATCTAAATTTAAGACATTCGTTTACACAAAATAAACCTATTCCGTTATCGTGTGGGCGGTTTCATACAATTCACAACAATGAATGATATGAATTATAAACAGACAGAATGAGATAGATAGATAGAGAGCAATACTTTCTATCAGTCGGCAGTTCATGCAGAGCTCAGTTCTCTCTTAATTAAACAAATCAAAGATAAGAATGATTATTCGGAAATGGTGCAGGAATCAATAAATAAAAATTTAGTTTACAAAAAAATATTATTGACTTGTAATCTAACATAAACTTCAGAAAATCTCCTCTCCAATTTCTAAGTTGTTTGTGAGATTTGTAAAAATACTTTTAAAATTGCAACTTTTGAGTTCGTCTTGGTAGAAGACGACTTTTTCAATCAATGAATGCGACCAAAAAAATTAAATTCGAATTTATCATATTATAAATATGTTGGAAAAGCTTATTTAAGTTTTTACTCAATTTTGTTGGAATTTACAGGGTGTCCCACGAAACATGACAGTATGCAGGACGACTTAAATGTCGTCTTGATTTTTGATATAATTTGCTGTGTTTATTTGTCAAACTAATTTTAGAAGTAAATTTTTAGAGATAATAATCACAAAATTTCTCTTGTCCTGCCATTTCCAAAATGTGGTCTGCCTTTTTTGTGCTTTCAATATTGCCCGAGATATGAAGAATTTCGTTCAGATTTCAACAATTTTGCTTTTATTTAACAAAATTGAAGATTATTATCTCTAGAAATTTACTTCTAAAATTAGGTTGACAAATAAACACAGCAATTATTATATAAAAATTAAGACGACATTCAAGTCCTCTTGCATACTGTCATGTTTCGTGGGACACCCTGTACCTAAAAATTGTCTCATTGTAGGATGATAAAGTTACTGGCATCCTACGTAGGGAGACTTTCAGCAGTTACTTAATCATGTACTGCACCCTAAAAAAGGGTGATCAAGTAACTTTATCGACCTGCTTTTAAATAATTTGAGTAAAACAGAATAAAACTATATATATGTTGTTGAACTGGGTATCATGCTTGCGAACAAGTTTTTGCTGTGATTTTTAATTTTTCTTGTTTGTTTTCGATCAAAATAAAAATCCCGGCAAAAACTTTTTCGCACTAAATAATACCCATTACAATGACAAAAATAAATAATCATGCATTTTTTTCCAGTGCAATATTTTGCTACAAAACAGGTATTTTACAGTTTTTGATTGATTAAAGTTGCATCTTCCCGCACAGCTGATTAAACCTTTCCAAGCCGCTAACAGGAAAATTCAATGTAGTAGTTTTCAAACTTGTGAATTATTAATTATTAACTGTTGATTAGAAATGAAAATGACAATGGTTTGATAATTCAAGTAAAGCGATATGGGTAATTTGCTAAAGAACGATTTTTGGACCATATATATATATATATATATGTGTGTGTGTGTGTGTTGAACTAGTGGTCATGTCAAATCATTGAATTGAATCTAGATCATAAATAAACAAGCTTTTAACATAAATATTTGTTTTTCAGAATAAACCAGTAGAAAATGGCTGATTCTGGTTCCAGTCGAGCTAATGAACCAACGGAGAAAGCAAAGAAAGAAAAACATCCTCCAAAAATGTCCAAGGTATTAAATCAATCTAGGAAAACCCATTTCAATTATCCAAAGTTTTCCGTCTGTGTATCTTTCAACCTACGCAAATCCGCTATTCTCCACTAATAACATACGCCAAATCCGCTAAACTACACATCTGACCTACTAGCACGTGGTTTTACAGCTACTAGATGAGCTTGTGCCCGCAGCCCCCAGCCTGTCCTAGCCGCGGCGCTCGACCCGTAAATTGTCTCAACATAACCTAACCATCAAATAATACAAAAATAAACAGTTAGCGTAGGCCCGATATTGCAGTAGGTCGGAAAGTTAGTACGTCAGAAGTTCAGTAGGGGGGATGTTGCGTATAGACGATCTAACATCAACCTTTTTAAGTAACTAGAAATTCAAAGCGCTTCGCGCCCTTCTTTCTAGGCTTTTAAGGCGCTTCGCGCCCATCTTCTATTTAAATTGTGAACATGTTCTTTTTGTTTACATTTTTAAAACAAAGGAAAAAATTTTGTGGATTTTTAAAAGAAAAATTCGAGGATTTTCAAGAATTTAAATTTTTTTACAAAATTAAAAACCTTTAAAACACTTTTTTTAATTTTTATCATTCATAAACCTTCCCTGTGGTCACGTGATGTCCCACAAAAAATTTGGGCCCGATCGGTTCAGCCGTTTTGACGTTTATTGGATATACAAACACACAGACAGATAAACAGACAAGCCAATTTACTTATTGAAGGAGTAGTTTACCGCTAGAGAATAAAACAATTTCAGAAATTCTAAGATATGCCACAAATAGAATTTAAGTACAAAAATTATGCCGCAAATATTTTTTTTAAACATGAAATATGCCACAACTAGTAATTTACAGCATAAAATATTACAAATATTATTTTAGACCTAAAATAAGCCAAAAAAAAGTATTTTATAACATAAAATATTCCTTAAATAGGATCTTAGACCATTAAATATGCTGCAAATAGTATTTTAGACAATAAAATATGCCTCAAATAGTATTTTAGTCAACAAAATAAGCCACTAATAATATCTTGGAACATAAAATATGTCACAAATAGTGTTTTAGAACATAAAATATGCCACAATTAGTACCCTATTCCTTCCATAAAATCTGCCACAAACAGTATTTTAGGCAGTTAAATCTGCCACATAGTATTTCAGGCAGTTAAATATGCCACAAAAAGTATTTTAGACAAAAAAATATACCTTAAATAGTTTTTTAGAACATTAAATATGCCACAAATAGTATCCTAGTACACCAAAATCTGTCACAAAGTGAAGTTCTTCACCTGCCCTGAATCTCCAGACAAGGGTGTACACAGGGGGGGGCAAGGGGGCATGCCCCCCCCCAGAACTCAGAGCTATCACACTTTTAAAATCTGAAACTGTACAGTAAAGAACTTTTTAAAAAAAATTGCTGTTCTTTTCTGCTAGTTTTGAATGAAGGAGAGATAAAGTAGTACTTGTAAGGTAAATGGACTATATGTGTACCTTTAAAGTATCCAAGAAGCCAAATGTTCTGAATTTACAGTTTAAATTTTGCCACACACACCCCCTCCCCTCCCTAGGAGCTCCTAAGGGGGGGGGGTCAAAAATGAATTTTTCACTTCATTTTGCCCTCCCAGAATTCATTTCTGTGTACGCCCTTAACCTCTAATCCTTCTAATATAGATTCAAATAAATTCCTATTATGCCCCTAACTGGGGTCCAGAGATTTAACAACAAATAAATAAAATTTCAGGCCATCAGTACTTCTGCTAAACGGATTCAGAAGGAGCTGGGAGAAATAACACTAGATCCACCTCCTAATTGCAGGTTAATACACCCTAGAGATTCTTCTGCTAGGGAAAGGTTGCGAATATATTACTCTTGTTTTCAAAGCTAACGCCTTTGTTACGTTTGGAAGTTTCCACTGTTATGAGTTACAGTTTTTATTTTCAAACACAAAATACAAATAATAATATATGATGGTTCAGCTAAAAGCAAAATAAAATTTAATATTGGCAAAATAAAGAATGCATTCATTAAACAATAGCAATGTATGCTTGTTGACTCTGGTAGATTTTGACAAATTTGACCATTAGCAAAGGGTGTGAACTCATTCTTGATGACTGTAGTAGACTTGGGTATTAATTTACAATCCTGATTTAGTGCTGGTCCCAAGGGAGATAACCTGTATGAGTGGGTGTCAACTATCCTTGGACCTCCTGGATCCGCCTACGAGGGCGGAGCATTCTTTCTGGATATTCATTTCAATCCAGAGTACCCGTTCAAACCACCGAAGGTATTGTATCCCGTTCACCATTAATAATTTAGTTAGTGGTAAGTAAATAAGAAATCAGATTTGAAACTTAACGTAACAAAATGGTGATTTTACGGGCCTGTCCTAGAGAACGATTTTTGGACCCACCCCCCATCCCCATCTTATCAATTTTGTCCATGACCACTTGTTTTTCAGCAAAATTATTATTATTTATTATTTTAGGATTAGGTTAGGTTAAGACAACTGCCGAGCGCTGCGGCTAGGACAGGCTAGTTGGCCGCGGCTAGGGGACCGGGCGCTGCGGCCACATGACCAATGATATTCATGTGATACACACGATAACAATGTATACAAAATTGATAGGAGGGAGGGGGGGGTCCAAAAATCGTTCTCTGGGAAATTGCCGATTTTACTATACACGAGACTGTCCACTATATAGTCCCCTTTTTTGAAAGTTAACTTGCAAAGAAGAAGACAAGACTGGGACAGGGCCACATAATTTCAGAAAATGCAAGCTTTTGTTGTTTTTCTGCCTTGAAAAGTTTAAAATTCTTTGAATAACTTTCCTTATCTGTGCTACATGAATCTGCAAATTAGATAGGATAAGAAAAAGGGTACTCAAGAATTTTAAATGACAAGAACTAAAGAAAAATGCTTTGGAATGTTTGAATGAAAATACTAGCTTATTGTTAACACAGAAAGTAAGGCAAAAAAGGGCAATATATCATAAAAACATTTTATTTTATTTCAGGTGACTTTCAAGACTCGAATATATCATTGTAACATCAATTCACAGGCAGGGATCCATATACTAATTTTAATGGGATCGAACTTTAAAGGACATTTTGGCCTGGGACGGAAAATACACTATCTGTGCAATTGTGAACTTTCTCAAGTTTTACAACACCTGAGAAATATGTACTGCATTTGGGGTAAAAAGTAAATGTTAGTAATCAATATAAGAAATAAATTATTATATATTTAGAAAAATAAACACTCCCTAGTATTATACATTCTGCAGTATGGATTTGTTTTACACCTTGACTTAGTAATTTCATTTGTTTACAACAACAACTTGGTGAAGTTCTGCCCCACATATCAATCAATCAACATTTTGGATCGTATTGAATGAAATTATATGGACCACTGCTCCCAGGGTGTAATCTGTCTGGATATTCTGAAGGATAATTGGAGTCCTGCTCTAACTATATCCAAGGTTCTTCTCAGTATTTGTTCTCTGCTCACAGATGCTAACCCAGCAGATCCTCTAGTTGGGAGTATTGCAAACCAGGTAACAGTTATAACTTCAAAGCATTTTAAATAGGAATGTTCTTGAAAATGAACAACAGGTATAGGACATTATTTTTTACTTTTATGCAATGTTATAATCAAAAAATATAAAAACCAATAAAAAAATGCTGAAAGTTCTGTTGATTCAAATATCTTTTTGTCATAATATCATCTTCCATATGTTAAATCAATGAAATCGGCGAAAATTTTTGGTTTGGTTGGAATTAAGATTTTACACTTTTTTTTGTTATATGATAAAGGTGAAATAAGAACTTTTTTAATGAAGGATAAAAAAAATAGTCCATAAGTTCAAGTATAAACTTTATTTAACACGGCCGAATTTCTGCATTTTCTGGAAAACAGTATAAGAAACACATCATGAAATTGAGAGTTTGATTCATCTCATACATACACGGGTCATGTAAATTTTTCTAAAGCACTGACTTCGGAGGATTCTCAGCGTTTCCCTAGTAGTAACAAATCTTGTACAATGAAGTTTTTTGTTTTAGTTTCTAAGCAACCGTGAGGAGCACGATAGGATAGCTAGACTCTGGACTAAACGATATGCAACATAGATCCCATGAACCAGAGGATGGGGGNACTTGAGGACTCTATAGAATGAGTGAAGAAAGTAGGTGGATATGAACCACAACAATTTCCTCGTAAGCTAAATATTTGAATCAACATTTTTTTTCATTTTTCTTTTAGCTTTCATTATTTTAAGACTTCTAAATTGCGTTTTTAATAATCCGGCAATGTTGTGTTGAAGAAATTTTAAGCTTTTTAAAAAGGATAAAACCAATTTTTGCTAAGATTCAAATTCTCCTCTGTCCGAATAAAAACCTGCTCGGTTGACAATTTACCTGTAGTTATAAATAAACACTAATTTGGCAGATTACAACAAAGTTCAGCCAGCAACTAAACATGTAATTTTTGTCTTTAATTTAATTTAAAAGTTAGTTACAGTCGTCATGTTCTGCGTAACAAATATTGTGTAGCTGACGAAGGTCGGACGACACAAATTTCCAAGTATGGTATGGAGTTTAAAAAGTTGTTAGTGGCTCATGGTCGCCTGGCGCCTACTCTCCTCGCTCGGGGAGAATTATTTTTTATTTTATTAACATGCTGTTGAGTTGATGTAGTTGACAATCTCGTGGTCAATTAACTTAATTGTAATCTCAAGGATTTAGATCAGGGGCGTATTCAGGAGTTTGGTCTGGTGAGAGGATTAACTTATTTTAACTTCCAGCGGGGGGGGGGGTATTAGTGTCCAAAATTTTCCCTGGAAATAATTGACGCCATTTCCTTGCGGGGGCTCAGCCCAGGGGCGTATTCAGGAGTTTGGTCTGGTGAGAGGATTAACTTATTTTAACTTCCAGCGGGGGGGGGGGTATTAGTGTCCAAAATTTTCCCTGGAAATAATTGACGCCATTTCCTTGCGGGGTTTCAGCAAAATTATTATTATTTATTATTTTAGGATTAGGTTAGGTTAAGACAACTGCCGAGCGCTGCGGCTAGGACAGGCTAGTTGGCCGCGGCACCCCCCTGAATCAGTGAAATCTATCGATTTCAGGGGATTTTCAGACCTCAACGGGTTCTGAGCCCCCCCTGGAAAGATAACAAAATTTAAGCCTTCCCTGGACAAATTCCTGAATACGCCCCTGGCCCAGTCCCATTGTCATCCTTTCCATATACGCCCCTGATTTCAACAAAGAAAAGCCTCTTTAAAGGTCTGTGAAAATATTTTTTTTGAAATGCAAGCAATCGAATTTTCTGAAATTCCAAAATTAATATACTGCTAAAGGCCCAGAATATGAAGCCATAAAGCCTTGCAGGAGAGTGGGGGAAGGTGGCCTTGTCCCCCTTCTTCCATGCCACATTAAGATTTGAATGCACCAAATTTACCATCTAAAAAAAGTATTAATTGACGAGAAAAATGTTGAGGCATAGATGACCGAATGGTTGTGGCTCATGGCTGCCGGAAGACAAAAGAGCTAATATGTGGCATGGAAGGTAAAAGTTGTGGATCATGGCCGCCTGTATTCCCCCGCTCTTTAGGGTTGACTATTAATTCTACTAAATTTTAATACCAAATTTGAAAATGTGATTAAATATTGTTGCAGGGTTCTTTATATTTCATATAATCGTAATAAATTAATGCTACCTGTTAAACTGTATTCCACAATACACATGAATATATAGTATATACTTTAGAAATTTGGAAACTTTGAAGTTATCCTGTCTCCCCCATCCCCCTTCTCTCATACATTTCATTGCTTAATTAGAATATATCTTGCTCCCGCCCCGGTTCATGTACACCGACATATACTATGTCCAAGGTTCTTCTCAGTATTTGTTCTCTGCTCACAGATGCTAACCCAGCAGATTTTTGTTTACATTTTTAAAACAAAGGAAAAAATTTTGTGGATTTTTAAAAGAAAAATTCGAGGATTTTCAAGAATTTAAATTTTTTTACAAAATATTTTTTCATTTAACGTTTTTTATATACTTCCTTACGTTGCACCGACTAAATTTACACACCTTCCTTCCTCCCAGTGCTTAGGATCCATTCAATTTTGATGCGGATCCGGATCCTGGATCCGCACTGGAAAAAAATGGATCCGGATCCAAATCCGGATCCGGATCCAGGTCATTTCTTTAAGATTTACTGAAATTAAAAAAAAAGAAAAAAAAATTCTAATTTTTGGTTTTATTTTTTTCGCTTATTTTTATCCTAAAACTTGATGAACCCTTCAGAAATGAAGAAATTTTTATAATCTTTTTTTCAAAAGTTCAGATTTGGGGTTTTGGCGTAAAAAGATTTTTTTCTTCAGTTTTTGGTTGATATTTTACCCCTTGGATCCGTATATTTTTGTGGATCCGGATAGGGATCCAGGAAGCCAAAATCTTGCGGATCCGGATCCTAAGCACTGCTGTTTCTCCCCTCACAGATTAATAAACATTGTAAAATTATACTCTGGATCCAAACTTGTATTACTATTTCTACTGTTGTAAAATGATTGTAAAATAAACAGAAATAAATTTATTCAGATATCGGAGGAAAATCTGGGGCCCTGATTTATAGGGTAACCCAAAATAGATTGGATTTCGGCGATCACACTCAAACTCTATTGAAACTCCGACCTATACGAAAATGCCGCAAGCGATCCCTGTGTTCTGTAATTTATGATTCGATTCGATATGAAGGTTTAATTTGATCTCTTGCATTGAAATAGTAAATAGGTAAATTCTGCTAAGTTGTCTTTGAAGTAAAATTGTAAGGAAACATCCCGCAATTCCCCTGAGCCTGTTCTCTCTATGGAAAGTGGTCGTGTAGTTCACGTACTTTGGGGTCGATATGTTGGCCGCTAGATGTCTCGTGCTAAATTCTTATCTGATAGATAATTTCTCCGTACACTTGACGACCAATATAGGAGACGTCAAGTTGTCGATCAATGTAGTGAACAGCCTCTGATAACAAGAAACCTCAAGTATACATGCGATAGATAGAAACATTTGCTTATCAATATTAACAGTGAGAACCAGAACACTCAAGAATAGGAAGACGACAAAAGCAATAAATAAGTTTTGATGTTAAAAAGCAAATAATTTAACCGTTTACACTGCAGTGCATAATTAATGTGCCTCATTTTCATTGGACTAATTAACTTCATATTTGATTCTAAGTCGTCTTCTTATTCCAGAGTTTTCTGGATCTCATTGTCTTGCCTTGAAATTGAAATTTTTCTAATAGACCACCAAACTCAATTTAGAATATGAATCATTGAATAATGAATATTGTATTGAACATGCAGGTGTGTGAGCTACAACGTCTAAACTCGATATCTACTCAACTAAAACTTAAATTTGTAAAGAAAAAGTATATAATCTCTGATCGGCGCGGCCGAGAACACATGTGCTTGATGTTCTTGACGAGTCGAAACTTAATTAGACCGTCGGACAACAAAAGATACAGTTTAAAAATTAAAGTTATGCACAACATGAAAGTTCCGAATACTCAGACACCTTGGACATATGGAGCTCTATTACAAATTAGTTTTGAAACCAGTGTCCGAATTTAATGAATTTAAGCCGCGCCAAAAATCCAAAAAAAACGGTTTTAATTGAGCGCCGGCTAAAATCTTGAAAAATCGAATACAATTTTAATTGGAACCAACCATATTTGAGCCTCGGCTTAAATTTAAGTCACGGTTCAAAGTCTTTAAATTCGGTCATAGGTATTGTTATTAATTATAAGTTGAAACATTTTACTTCGAAGTATAAATACAGTAAAGATTTAACAAAGAGAAATAATACTTATTAATAAAAACATTTATGATCTATCACAGTTTTGACAAAATATATAAATTTTAATAAGTAATCACATTTATGCAGTATGCATGCGATGTATAACTATATGAAAATACACAACATATTGTATAAAATCACAAAAATATCTTTCATGTAAAGGTTCAGAAAAACATTTTTGGCCTTAAGTATATACATTTACTTATAAAAAACTTGTTAAGATTCACAGGGCATTATCACATCAGATTTCAGGAGAAATATAAAAATACAATACATTTAACTTATAAGGCATCTAAAACCTTACGATTGCTTGAAAACAACTATTAAAAAAACCAGGCTTGTCAATTTCAACAACAAAAATTCCTTAATGAAAACACATCTTCATATGCAAAGTCATCAACATAATATTGGACTTAGTACAGTGATAACCAGAAAACTCTGGAATATGAAGTAGAATTTTGGACGCAAGTTACGGCTTTAAACAGACCAATGAACATGAGAATAGCAATTGTACAGTGTAAACAGACCCATTTCACTAAATTAGTAATTTAAAATGTGTCTAGCAAAACTATTTACTTTAACAACATCATCAAATAAACTTCAAGTATTGCCATAATATCGTCTTCCTATTCCTTTGTTTTCCGGTTCTCACCAAACCAAAATACGTAGATGCTTTTAGTTACCCGAACACTTTCATTTGAGGCCTTTTCTAATACACTTATTTGTAATTCATAAAAGTCAGGTGCAATCGCGCTGCAGTTTCTTCTCAGTACATATAAATAATTTATTTAGGTAAATGTGTACTGCATAATGCTCAAATGTGATATTAAGTGTTCTACACAAGTAGTGTACTAACTGCACCAGTTTATATCAAGAGTACACACAGAGGTGGTATAATGAATACTACAAACTAGTAGTGTACTAACTACACCAGTTTATATCCATAGTACACACAGAGGTGGTATAATGAATACTACAGACTAGTAGTGTACTAACTGCACCAGTTTATATCCAGAGTACATAGAGGTGGTATAATGAATACTACAGACTAGTGGTGTACTAAGTACACCAGTTTATATCCAGAGTACATAGAGGTGGTATGAAGTGTACTACAGACTAGTAGTGTACTAACTACACCAGTTTATATCCAGAGTACATAGAGGTGGTATGAAGTGTACTTCAGACTAGTTGTGTACTAACTGCACCATTTTATATCCAGAGTACATAGAGGTGGTATAAAGTGTACTACAGACTAGTAGTGTACTAACTGCACCAGTTTATATCCATATTGCATTTTCCTTGGAACCATCTTTGCATTTTCCAGTTAGATTTAGACAGTGTTCCTCTGAAAACAAGAGAAAGCAATAAAAAATTCCAGAAGGAAAGTGAAAAAAGATGTTTTTATAATACCTAACTTGCGTGGAGTTAACCCTAGATGGTGGTACGGGAAATATTCTTCTGGTGGCATGTCGATTCACCTAGATATTAATAGAATTATATTTCATATCTATTTTCATAAGAGAACAATTTCCCTGAAACTCTTCCTCTTCCAGAAGTTTAGCAAATGGACTTCAGAGCTCAGTTAAGGCGGCCGAGAAGTCGTGGATTCCCCCTCCCTTCCCCCCCCCCCCCGAAAAAACCCACATGTGAAACTACTTTACCAATGAAAAAATTGCCCCCAACATGCTGGATTTTACACAATAACTACTTCTGGATACAAGGTGATGCCCGATGAAAAAAAAATGCATGAGAGGCAGTGATCTAAATATGATTTATTTTGTTCAAAAAGGGACAAAATAAGAAAGCATAGAGAGCAAGACGCCTGAAAAATTCACAATTAATAATAAAAGAAACAACCAAGGATCCATTGATGTGTCTGCCGAAATTTCTTTCCTAATTAAAAAATTTACAGTATTACGCTTTCATCCTTCAAAATGTAGCTTTAGAATGTTACCTGCTCTTTCCAGGCTGCTTTAAGCATATCTAAATCAGATTCTTTCAAACATTTCAAGCAGAGATCACAGTTCTCTAGGTTACAGGAACTAGTTTCTAGATAAACAAAGTATTTTAGGCAGAGATCATAGTTCTCTAGGTTACAGGAACTAGTTTCTAGATAAATAAAGTATTTTAGGTAGAGATCATAGTTCTCTAGGTTACAGGAACTAGTTTCTAGTAAAATAAAGTATTTTAGGTAGAGATCATAGTTCTCTAGGTTACAGGAACTGGACTGGAACCAAGGTTATCTTGAAACTTAGGACTGGAACCAAGGTTTACCTTGACACTGAGGACTGGAACCAAGGTTTACCTTGACACTGAGGACTTAAACCAAGGTTTACCTTGACACTTAAGACTGGAATCAAGGTTTGCCTTGACACTGGGGACTGGAACCATGGTTTACCTTGACACTTAGGACTGGAACCAAGGTTTACCTTGACACTGAGGACTGGAGCAAAGTTCTGGAAAAGTCATTACATCTTTGTTTGCTACAACCATATCATTCGCAGCATTGCCTGCAGGATGCAATAGATCCCACCTAAATTAAATTAGATTAAAGTTTTAAAAAATTTAAGAGGAATTTATCAAAAAAAAGATGTTTCATTTTGTAAAATGTAGTCTTAGATAGTTATATTTGAATAAATGTAAAAATCTAAATTAAAAAGCATAAAGCAAAGCAAAAAAATTATTCTAATCGTTTAAAAACAATTGTTTAAGAAAATTCTGCTTATGGAAGAAAACGTTTTCTTTGTTCTTGGAGAAAAGGCATATTTCAAATTGTGAAAAGGTTTTTTTTTGCAAAATATTAAAATATTTAAAGTTTGAAGACATCCAATTTGTTTCTCAGACAGGAGTACACATCCATCAGAGAGAAATTTAGGGATTTGAGAAATAAATTTCCCTAGTTTGATAATATTTTAATATTTCTGGTGAAGGGAAATTTGCCTATTTTGCTTTGTTAAAAAGATTGAGCCCTGGACTACCTCCTCTACCTGATTGAGATCTGGACTACTTTCTACCTGATTGATCCCTGGACTACCCTCTACCTGATTGAGCCCTGGACTACCCTCTACCTGATAAAAACCAGGACTACCTTCTACCTGATTAAGCCCTGGACTACCCTCTACCTGATTGAAACCAGGACTACCTTCTACCTGATTAAGCCCTGGATTACCTCCTCTACCTGATTGAGCCCTGGACTACGTTCTACCTGGAATACCCACTACCGGATTGAGCCCTAGAATACCCCTCTACCTAATAAAGTCTTAGACTACCTCCTCTACCTGATTGAGCCCCAGACTACCCTTTACCTGATTGAGCCCCAGACTACCATTTACCTAATTGACCCCTGGACTATCGTCTATCTGATTGAGCCTTTGACTATCCTCTACCTGATTGAGCCCTGGAGTACCCTCTACCTGATTGATCCATGGACTACCCTCTACCTGATTGAGCCCTGGACTACCCTCTATCTGATTGAGCCCTGGACTACCCTCTACCTGATTGAGCCCTGGACTACCCTCTATCTGATTGAGCCCTGGACTACCCTCTACCTGATTGAGCCCTGGACTACGCCTACAAGTTTGAGTACAGAATGAATAACTTGTTCATAGAGAAGTTTATTAGCGGGAAAGTGAGCAGAGGAAAGGTTCGGAGACATGTTTGCTTCCATCAGGAACACGTTCAAGTTCTCATCCAAGACAAAATCAAACCGAACCATCTCAAAGAAAGCTTCCTTGTGCGGGTAGTGGGACATAGCCTTGATAAACATCTCCTCATGCTTTAGGTAAACCTAGAGTAAATTAACCTTCTTTAAAAAGTTATTTATATCTGAAAGACCACAGGAGAGCTTTGTGAAAAGAGCTCTTAGCTCTCAAAGCTCTCCTGGTACAGTAGTTTTCATGTATTCAATGTACTAATGTTTTGATAATAACTGTTAAGATTTATTATTACTGCAGAAAAATATATGATTTGATTTGAAATTATTATTTCAAAAAAAATAATTAGGAATAATTGAGTTCAGAAAAATGTATATTCTTCAGTACTCCCGAAAAAAATAAAAGTAAAATTTCCTACGAAACTTTAGAAATAAGATTTTTAAATTACGGCTGAGAAAATCGTATTTCTAAGTTTCGTTTTTTCTTGCTTTTACTTTTTAATTTTCATTTTTTGTAAAATTTGATAAGCATTTACATAAAAGAAGAAAATTCCACGGGTAGGGAATGCTTTACAAATTATCATGAAATGTATTAAAATGATAAAATGTGTACTTGACCTCTGCAATAGTTGAATACATTTCTTCCCACATATTTGCCGGATCTTTACCCAGACCTCTGAAAAATCTTGAATTCAATTTCAAGTTTTTTAAGTTCTTATATAGTCATTGACTAATTGCCATCGGCAGATTAAAAATTTTAAATTTAGGATTCGGAATCAATGAACCACTAAAATATCATCGGATTGTTTTAAAAATTAAAAATTCTGAAAACAACCAAAAAAATGTCAAAATAAAATTCGTAAAAAATTTAAGTTATTAAATCTTGATATTTTTATTTATACTGATTAGTTTGTTAGAACTACTGAAAGAACAAAAACGTCAAACACAGTAATTGCGAACTTTTTTGTATGAATTGAGAAATTTTGTAGTCGTAATATTCGGCTTTTTTTAGAAAAAATAATTTATTTGGACCATGGGTTCAGTCGTTTTAACGTTTATTGGATAAAAGCAAAATATATAAATAGATTTTATAAAAGAAAATGTAATTTTGTCATTTCACAATGTAAAATATTTTGAAGTGAAATCAACCCATCAAATTTATTACAGTGAATATGCCTGATGTCGTTATCACAATTCTTGAATATTTTGCAGTGGTCAGTGATTATATCAATACAATGAAAACGACTTTTTAGCTCAAGTTTTGATTGTTAACAAGCTTTTTTCAAATTACAAGTTTACAAATAATTAAAAAGAAGCTTTTTTAATAAACAATTTTTTTGTTTCCATGTTGATGTGTTGCTGCTTAAAAGCTTGATATAAATCAAAATTGAAATCAAAAGTCGTCTTCATTGTATTGATATATGCGACGACGACTGTAGTTCTCTGAAGTCGGTTCACCTGATATATGTATTGAGAGTATCAGTGAATGAGAATCCTAGTTCCTTCATGTACTTGGAGAAGGATGGAATCTTCCATGAAGGAAGATAATCATCCTGAACCACGTACTTGTTCTTGTTCCTCGCATCGAACGGATGATATTTCTCCGGACAGAACCTTAGCAGAGCATCGCTGTGGTGAACATATATCCTAGAAAAAAACAGAATTTAAGAAAATTTGGAATTAAATTTAAATTATTTTGGGTTCAAAGATTTTATTAGAACTTCTTCTGAACTTTATCAATTAGATCTGATAAGGGGGCAGGGGAATGGGATACATTTTTATACATTTTACTGTGACACATTAGGGCGGCATGTATTCCAGTTTTTTATTAAACCGGGTGTCCCAAGAACCATGACAGTTGAGAGACGGTGTGAAGGCGGTACTATTGAAAGCATAAAAAGACAGAAATGTCTGGACAATTTACTTGTTGCAATTTACATAGCAAAGTAGGTTGACGAATGAATAATTACTTGCGAAGATCAAAGACGACTTTCAAGTCGTCTGTTATATTTCGTGGGACACCGTGTTTATAAAGCGGAATTAAAGTCGTCGTTAAGAACGTCGCGATAATGAATTTATCAGAGCTGCTCAAACTAATTGGTGTGGTATACTCATAATCTAGATCACTCAATATCCACTGTGGACACTTTTAAATGAAGATTAATTATAAATTCCAAAATGTGCTCTACCACTTTTGTATAATGAAAATTGACGGAGATTTAAAAAATTTTAACAGTTTTGCTGATTTTTAATAATCTGGAATCTGGTTTAATTTCCTAACATCTCCGTCAATTTTGAAGGTGGAAAAATGGTAGACCACAGTTTGGAAATCCCGAGACTGCATAGTAGTTTTCAGTGTTAAATGTTTAACTACAATACTACAAAATTATGTTTATGAAATAATCCAGCTTGGAATTTAAAGACGATATATAAGTCATTTGATTCCCATGTTTATTGGGACAACCTGTACAAAGACGGTTATATAGAAAGATAGAAAGACAGAGAACAAAATATATAATAAAACTATAATTAAAAATCGAGGCCTGTAATATATTGTAATAAAATCATTTCTGTCTCTACTGTCGCAGGATAATTTATCCCTTTCTTTTAACCACTGCAGTTAACATTATATATCATATATTACCTTAACTATTTTTATCTTTATTTTTATATAGTTTTACCAAGGGATAGAAATAATAATTCATGATAAATATTCAGAGCAAAAATCTAGTTTAAAATAGTGGTAAAAGTGGTGTTTATCACAATATCACAATTATATCCATCTATTAGAAGAGAGGTGGATACTGGATACTTTACCTAGTGGTGCGATCTAGAGATGAGAGTGGTGTATATCCCAATATCAAACTTATATCCATCTACAAGAAGATACTGGATACTGACCTAAGTGGATTTATAGAGGTGAGAGTGGCGTATATCCCAATATCAAAGTTATATTCATCTACTAGAAGATACTGGATACTGACCTTAGTGGATCTACAGAGGTGAGAGTGTCGTATATCCCAATATCAAACTTAAATCAATCTACTAGAAGAGAGGTGGATACTGGATACCGGATACTGACCTTAGTGGATCTATAGAGGTAAGAGTGGTGTATATCCAAATATCAAACTTATATCCATCTACAAGAAGAGAGGTGGATACTGGATACTGGATACTGACCTTAGTGGATCTATAGAGGTGAGAGTGGTGTATATCCCAATATCAAACTTATATCCATCTACTAGAAGAGAGCTGGATACTGGATACTGACCTTAGTGGATCTACAGAGGTGAGAGTGGCGTATATCCCAATATCAAACTTAAATCCATCTACTAGAAGAGAGGTGGATACTGGATACTGGATACTGACCTTAGTGGATCTATAGAGGTAAGAGCGGTGTATATCCAAATATCAAACTTATATCCATCTACAAGAAGAGAGGTGGATACTGGATACTGGATACTGACCTTAGTGGATCTATAGAGGTGAGAGTGGTGTATATCCCAATATCAAACTTATATCCATCTACTAGAAAAGGGTTGGATATATACTCCTGAACAAATGATCCCTCAGTTGTTAAGTCCAGATCTGACAATCCCTACACAAAAGCATTCACTTAAAATGATTATGAAGTACATAGCTAAAATCAGTACTCTAATAACAATATAACACATAAAGCATACACTTAGAATGATTATGAAGTACGTAGCTAAAATCAGTACTCTAATAACAATATAACACATAAAGCATCCACTTATAATCATTAATGAGTTTAAATAAGTACACAACTTTAATCAGTACATACACAATCTATATACGCATTACGCAACTTCAACTAACTTATATAAACAATTTTTTTAAAAACTATAATAAAATTCGGCTTCTGGCACAACGTTATTACACGCCATGCATTGTTTACTACACAACTAAACCAGTTTACAATAGTGACTTATACATAAATATAATTGCAGTACAGTTAAGGAACTCCACTAAGCAGTGGTAAACCACAACCATTAACTATACAGTAATGACAGTACATGTAGAGAATATAATGAATACTCCCTGTATTTGTATTCCTCGATGATTATTACTTTTCTGCACAAACAATTTATCAGGGAACCTTCTAAACAAACAGATAGGAGATAAAACAGATAGGAGATAAAACAGATAGGAGATAAAACAGATAGGAGATAAAACAGATAGGAGATAAAACAGATAGGAGATAAAACAGGCAGTCTTGTGTTTTTTTTTCTATTGGTTTGTTTGCTTTTTATGCAATCCTATTCTTTATTCAATCCTATTCTTTATTCAATCCTATTCTTTATTCTTCTATTACTATCCTCTTTATCAATTTCAATCCTAAATTATTCTACTCCTATACGTTTTCATCGAAAATTTATACTTCATTCTTCTATTCTTTTCCTATATTCATCTACTCCTAATTCTCATTCTCATATTCCTATCCTTCACTCTCCTATTTCAATCCCTCAATTCACTCTTCTATTCCAAGCCTTCAATGTTCTATTCCTATCCTTTATCTTTCTATTCCTAGTTTTCATTATTCTCTTCCTAGTCTTCATTCTTCTCTTCTCATCCTTCATTCTTCTCTTCCTATCCTTCATTATTCTCTTCCTATCCTTCACTATTCTCTTCTTATCCTTCATTATTCTCTTCCTAGTCTTCATTATTCTATTCCTATCCTACATTCTTCTCTCTCTATCCTTCATTCTTCTCTTCCTATCCTTCATTCTTCTATTCCTATTCTCCACTCTTCTATTCCTATCCTTCATTCTTCTATTCCTATTCTCCACTCTTCTCTTCCTATCCTTCATTATTATATGCCTACCCTTCATTCTTTTATTCCTATCCTTCATTCTTCTTATTCCTTTCCTTCAATCTTCTATTCCTATCCTTCAATCTTCTATTCCTAATCTTCATTCTTCTATTCTTATCCTTCATTCTTCTATTCCTATCCTTCATTCTTCTATTCCTGTCCTTCATTCTTCTATTCCTGTCCTGCATTTTTCTATTCATAATCTTCATTCTTCTATTCCAATCCTAAATTCTTCTCCTATCCAAAATTCTTCTCCTATCCTTCATTCTTCTAATCTTATCCTTCATTCTTCTATTCCTATCCTAAATTCTTATCCTATCCTTCATTCTTCTATTCCTATCCGTCGTTCTTCAATTCCTATCCTTCAATTCCTCTATTCCTATCCTTCATTATTTTATTCCTGTCCTTCATTTTTCTATTTTTATCCTTCATTCTTCTAATCCTATTCGTTATTCTTCTATTCCCATTCTTCATTCTTCTTCATTCTATTATTCCTATCCTTCATTCTTCTATTCCTATTTTTATCTTTCTCATCTCAGCCTGATCCGTTGTAGGCGACCCTATGCTGTACACTGTACTTTCTTTGATCTGTATACCTAGCATATTTAAGAAGTTGACCCTTCTCTCCAGGAATACTGAACGCCGGGGGAACGTTCTTAATTCCAGATGTGGCTAGGTTTACCTGAACACGTTATATAAAAATCAAAATAAGGTCTAAATCAAATTTCAATCACTTATCATTCCAACACTTAACCATTTAATACATGCAATACAAGCTTTGAAACGTTGTACCCCTAAAAGTATTAAAAATTATCGAAATATAGTTAATCGACTTAAGCCAGGAGTTAACAGAATAATTTTTTCCTTTTAACTAACCTTGCCCTGTTAATTTGGAAACCCTAGTTCTAAACCTGTAGTAAACACCTCGACACACGTATCTATCCAGGTCCAACCCGTCCGCTATCAAAGTCAACCAGGAAACAACCCACCTGGCTTTTAATGCCACACAAGGACACAAGCGTAGCTATCCAACAAACTATCAATTCAGTGCTCTAAATACCACACAGGGAAACAAGCCTAGCTTTCCAACAAGCTATATATTGATCCCAAATGATAGGGACGATCCGCTCTACACAATATTTGCTACAAACCAGCCTTGCTTTATGTCCTAGATTTGAACCTACCATGCTTTACTATTAAAAGGACCTAGATCTAAACCAACCTTGCTTTACTATTAAAAGGACCTAGATCTAAACCAACCTTGCTTTACTATTGATAAGACCTAGATCTAAACCAACCTTGCTTTACTGTTAATAAGACCTAGATCTAAACCAACCTTGCTTTACTATTAATAAGACCTTGATCTAAACCAACCTTGCTTCACTATTAATATGACCTAGATCTAAACCAACCTTGCTTTACTATTAATAAAACCTAGATCTAAACCAACCTTGCTTTACTATTAATATGACCTAGATCTGAACCAACCTTGCTTTACTATTAATATGACCTAGATCTAAACCTACCTTGCTTCACTATTAATAAGACCTAGATCTAAACCTACCTTGCTTCACTATTAATATGACCTAGATCTAAACCAACCTTGCTTTACTATAAATAGGTCTAGATCTATACCAACTCTGATTTAGTATTAAAAGATCCTAATCTAACCCAACCAAAACTCCTACTTTGGGGGTGGATACGTTTTCAGAATTAGTTTTTTTTTAATTATTAAATTACGACGACATAAAATGTGAAAAAATTTTACAATAAACTACAGACGTCATGTTTAAGAACATTTTGAGAAAATAAAAATTAATCTTATCATCGAAAATAAGTAAACTTGTTCAATTATTAGTTTCTATTTTCTCGTTATTCTGGTTTCTTATTATTCACAAAGATTTTCTGCGGATTTTCTAGAACTATTATTGAAAAGACGACATTTGAAGAATTTGAAGAAATCTGCGAATAAATTCAAAGAAAATAAGAAATTCAATATAATAAAGAAACCGAAATAATCGATTTTAGCATTGATTTATTAACAAATTTGTTTTGAGAAATATGTTCTAACCATCCAATTAGCTAACCGTATAATTTTTACTTTATTTTTCGTTGTCGTTATTTAATAATTAAAAAAAGGGCCTAGATCTTACCCGACCTTGCTTTAATAAAAAAGAACTCAGAACAAAGTCTGCTTCAAATAAGACCCGGATATAATTAACCTTATTAGTGATGAACCCCGAGCCTGGAAACTTGTTTATTCTCTGTCCTTTCTTCATTGCAAGCATCTTGTCCTTTATCTTCTTAAAAGGGTAATCATGAGCCCACATCAAATCCCAGTCAGAGCTTGTATTGTAACTGCCTCTCCTGTATCCTACAACGTTATCTATATATAAATTTTGGCTTGTCTGTCTGTTTGTTTGTATACAATGAACGTCAAAACGGCTGAACCGATCGGGCCCAAATTTTTGTGGGACATCACGTGACCACAGGGAAGGTTTATGAATGATAAAAAAAATTTTTAAATGTGTTTTAAAGGTTTTTAACTTTTAAAAAAAATTCAATTCTTGAAAATCCGCGAATTTTTTTTTAAAAATCCGCAAAATTTTTTTCTTATTTGTTTTAAAATGTAAACAAAAAGCCTAGTAATGTAAAAAAGAAATGCTCATATGGCGTATAGTACCTTTAATTAACAACTTTAGTTTTTTAAATGTTTCTCTTCAAGCCGCAATTTTTTTTACTTCTTCTTTAACTAGTTTTTTCGCTGATTTTTTGGTCTGTATTGATTATTGTCAACAATTAAAAAGAAAGAGACGTGTGAATCAGTGCATGTAATTGTAAACTATCCAAGAGAAAGAATATCTAGTGAAATCCCTTTATTCAATCCTGTATCTACTTGTTTCAACATCACTGATCAATATCAAACAATTTAGGGAAAAAAGTTTTTCTGTTAAGTCAAATCGGCGCTACGAAATTAAAACTACATTGAATCGGAGGCCTAACTCTGAAAACATTGTTTATTTCAGGAAAATCAAGTGCATCAAACATTAAACTTTCTTAAAAATTAAATACGGTGTTAATAAACAAGAAATATTGATGACATTTTTTTGTACTACTTCTCAAAGAGACATGTAGTCTTAATTCTAAGTAACTGTGCATTTATTTAGTGGCATGTCCGGTTCACAACGGTCCCATTATTTTTTATTTTCCTTTGTGAAATTTGTGCGCATTTCTTATACAGATATAATGGAAGAACATTAACAGAATAAAATAGTTTTTAAGACTGAAATACGACATCATTTTTGAACAGATAAAGCTTTAAAGGATGTCATTGTTAATCGAGCAGGCCCCTCTTTTTTTTAAATAAAAGATGACGAAAAATTGCAAGGTGAGTCCCTGTAAAATAACGCGGAATTCTATAAAGGGAACCTAATTTGTCAAATATGATTCTTAAAACAATTATTGTTAATATGCTAGCCCGGCACTTATCTGCCCTACTGTGCATTAGAAATTCTCGAGCAGAGGGGTTCAAAATCTTACGATTATAATATTTAAATTAAAAAAAGTTGAACACCATTTCCATATAATATCAAAGTTATAAAAATTTTTAAATTGGAAAATTCTGAATGATATTCCTAATTGTAGGACTTAGAAATGACGATGTTTTTTTCTAGTTATCATTGTATAAAGTGAACTTAATCAGCACCTGCTCTGTCCAGAACATTGTAAACATGTTGAAGGTATCCTGTATCTGGATGACGAGCATAAACTACGTAGGTTTGTCCATTCTCTGGGTCAGGTTGACCCTCAGGGGTTCCATGTTCTTGTAGGTAGTGCTGGGCCTGCAAATCAGTGAAGTCACATTAAAATAAAATACTTGAAGAAAACGTAAAAACTTAGATTCTAATCCATAACCCTGATAAAGTATTTTTTAATCGAATAAATTTTACTTCTGTTTAATTCATTACTTTTAAATCACTGTTTCTAAAACTAAATTAAGTTTTAAAAGCACAAGATCCATTCAATACAATGATGATAAATTGATATTAGGGCCTAGGGGGCAGTAAAATTAACCGTTGTAGAAAAAAATCTATATCTGCAAAAGTGCAGAGTGCTGCTAGGGAGTGTTTATTTTTCTGTAAATCACAATTGACTACTGATATTTACATCTTTCAACACCCCAAATGCAGTACACATTTCTAAAGTGTAATACATGTTCACAAAAATCTTGCCAAAGTTTACAATGACTCCAATGACACAGAAAGTGTTGCACCTAGATGTGCTTTTAACACTGAGCCCATTTGGGATCAAAAATGGAATATATGGACCCCTGGGCCCTGAATTGAAAGTATTCAGGATAAAATCTTATTTAAAACTTTCTGATAAACCCTGACAGAGAGTAATGAAAAGCAACCAGGAAAATAAAGATGAGATTCTATGAAATTTATGGTTAAGTACACAGCAGCATGACGTGCAAGGGTTCTTATCCTGTCGTCTCATTCAATTGCATAACATCAAGAGTTCCAGATTCTAAAATGAATAATTACAGGAAAAAATGCAAAACACTTATATCCTCTCAAATGTTGTCTTTCTTTCAAATTAAAACGACGTTTTTTCCGCTAGGTGTCTCTGCCACGTGTAATCATTCAAAGCATCCAGAGCAGACACTGGCGGCCAACTATTTCGGCGTTTAAGTGCATTTAATACAAAACACATGAAAAATATTATGAAATATTATCTATATATCAATGCGCCGAAAAATAATCGATGACTATAGGTTGTAATATCTGAATGATTTGTTTGAAATTAAATTGATTTTTTATGATCCGAGTCGTATATTGCAACTTTCTGGATATGGACGCTACATTATTCAGTATAAGTCGTTTTTAACAATTGTCTCCTTATAGACGCTAAGGATAGACATAAGATTAGTAGCGATCGAAAACGATTATTTTTTGCCGTAAGCATATACACTTTTTCATTTTTCGCGAACACTCCCTTTAAGATGATATACTTTAATCAAAAGAAAATTGAAGACAAAGGAAGAATGGAAACTGTTGGGAAAATTAACTGCATGAAAGATTTTGAGATTGATTCTCTAGGTACCTGTAAAGACGAGAGCTGCCAGATATTAAGAGCTGTGATAACTAATCCTAGAACTAGGACGGAGAAGATGAGAGAACTAAACCTTCCTCGTCCAAATACCCGGAGCAGAAAACTGTCTTCCATCCTAAAAACATTTCAGATTTTTAGTTAAAAATAATAATATATCATAAATTCAAATACATTTACTCCTTGTAGGATTGATTTGGAAAACTAGTTGTCAGTTTTTGTTGTACATTTGGCTTGTAGCTTCACGAAGCTAAAGTAAACTGCATGTAGGATTGAAATCAAACATATTTTACATTTTAACTGGAAACTGGTTAAATTCGCGTTACTCACAAGTGCGGGGAAAATCAAAACTAGAGGTGTTACAAGGTCACAATGTTATCCCAGTAATATTGCAAAAAGTCGACCTTCTCCCTCTGTCCTATCAAAGTGGCTTCAGGGGGATAGATTGTTTCGTATTTTGGGTAAAATATAGTTTCTCCCTTTATTTACAAAATAGTTTCTCCCTTTATTTACAAAAATAGTTTCTCCCTTTATTTACAAAATAGTTTCTCCCTTTATTTACAAAATAGTTTCTCCCTTTATTTACAAAATAGTTTCTCCCTTTATTTACAAAAACTTGCATTCTTCACAGCTTCGGAGAAGACTATAGACTGGATTAACACTAGTAAATTGAATATTCAAGTATATGTGGGAGAAAAATCCCTAATCTGTAAATTGTGAATTATGAATAATATATATATCCTTGTATAGAAACATATTCACTATTGATGCATATTATTATTAGTTTTGTAAAGCATATACTGTTCGTTTTCTTTTCATCTCTAGTATACTACGAATACTGCTTTTATACTGAACCTAGTACCATGACAGAGTTATAAACAGGGATACCAACACAAGGGGGGGGTGTTGTGTGCTCAGCCCCCTCCCACCTACATCAGTAAAGTCTATGGTTTTCAGGCCCCAACGGTTACAGAGTCCTTATCTGGAAAGATTTAACAAAATTATGCTTCCCCCGGAAACAGATTCAATGTACGCTTCTGGATCCTGCAGAGACGAATATACTTTTTTATTTTTTTGTAGTAATTTCATGCATTCTTCATCATTTTTTTATTATAGAACCTTTACAAACAAAAAGACTACAAGAAATCATAAGCTTTAAGAAGGTAGGGGGGGAGGTAAACACATGAAAATTGGTTACCTATCGTGCTGAATTTAACTCATGTAGGATGATAATAAGGAGAAGCAATCTTTTTAGTTCTCTAAATACACCACTACAACACTACACAGTTCAATTCATCTGAAATCTAGAACTACACAATATACATTATGCATAATTGATGTGTGGAAAACTTTTTATATACTCTGATATTTAAAATATATAATTCTTTTAACAAAAGAAAATGAGTTCCTGAGTTCCAGCCCACTGACTCTTAATACCACAAATTTAAGTATTTCAAACCGATATTTTTCCGGATTTATTCTGTAAACCGGAAATTTTTCCTATTTCCATTTCATCCGGAAAAATATCAGCTCCATTTAATTTCAAAAATGGACATTTTACCCTGAATAATGGAAACCATAATATCATATCTAACTTTTTTTGGGGAAGCACATTTCTGCAGTTGTATGATTGTAATAAATACAGTTGAACATACCAAGATAAATTACTTTGTACATTGTCCGTAAATCTAACTGCGCCAATCCTCAAATATGCAGAACTTGTAATGCTATTAGACTAGCTGCGTATTGTGATTAGCTTTACTACGATGATATATATCTGCGCAAATCTTGTAAAAACGTATATTGACTTAACATGCAACATAGATTTCTAAGTACACATTAGTTATCATAGTCTCCGCTTTGAAACATACGAGCTGAGATTGTGCCCATTGGTTTGGCATTGATCACTTAAGAGCTTGTGTCTGTGTTGACATTAATGGCTGGCGAACGGTGCCTGGATTGATACAGGTCTGGAAGCAGCTTTACGAGCATATCATTTACTACATGATGAGTCATTTGATGTCCTTGAAGTCGTCAACAAAACCCAGCGTATTAATTTATTGTATGTTTAGTCTCAAAGCAGATAAAATATATGATCTAGGGAACAGTTTTAAGTGCGTTGAAGGGTGATATGGGGGGGAGTACTGAACTAAATATCTTTTTTCTTTATGTAAATAATAATGCATCATGTGAATTTATAAAAAAAAACATACTAAGTGTAGAGTGTGGAGTATAAGAGGTTTTCTTAATCATAAGATTCTAGAAACTATGAGCTTAAAAAGCCTGGTACTCAGAAATATTGGAAATTAACACTAGAAAACATGACTGAAGGACGGAAAAAAGAAAATTAAAACAACAAGCGAAGTTAAAGAAGAGTAGGAATACTTTGAAGAAAAAACTGAAACCAAAAAGAAAATGAAAAATTTCAAAGAAGGAGGAAAAAACAGTAAAGGGAAACGAAAATTCACTGTAAAGAATAAATAAAAAAATTTAAAAAAATAAGTAAAAACTAGTTTGAGCATGCAGGAAAAACAAATGTGATGTTAATTAAAAGAAATATGCAATATAGTATGCATGTATGGTATTAGAAATATTGGAAACACAGAAAAAAATGTGAAAGAAAGAAAAAATAGTAAAGATAGAGAAAGGAAAAATAATAGTATAGGGAAAAGAAATTCACGGTTAAAATAGCTAAAAAAATACTAAAAAAACACGAATTTTTTTTTAAAGCATGCAGAAAAGACAATGTTAATTAACAGAAAAATGTAATATAGATATACAATAAGGTTGAGTTAGGTTATATTAAAGAGAGAGAATTAGACTGACAAGAATAAACAGCCCTGGAATAGCCGAATATTTATGAGTTTACACACTTCACAATTCTCCAGGAGAAGGTTTGTATCTGGGTAGTGTTTACAACTGTATAGCTGAGTGTACAGTGTTATATAGAGGAGGAGGTAGAACCAGGAACCAGAAACCAGTAAAGGTCATGCAATACAACAGGACAACTAGGATTTACATTAATCAAGAAATATGGAAAACAAAAATCTCCTTACACTAATTCATCTTGGAATTTTATTTGTGTGGGTGGAATGTATACAATGCAGTACACAGAAAGTTCCTTAAGGTTTTAGGTTATTATTCATATAGGACCTGAGCTGAAACTTTAGACTGGGATATCCTTAATCCCGATTGGTTAATTAATATGGAGATTAATAACAAGAGGAGAACAAGCATTGAACTCGATATCCGCCATTCTAAAGTTTTCAGCTCTGATTACAGAAAGTGGACTGGAGAGACAAGTGATGAGGACTGGATGGATGGAGACTGGAGGGCAAGAGAAGATTGAATTGGATTGTTATTGGAGGGACAAGTGAGGACTGGTTTGGATGGAGACGGGATGGTTACTAAAGGAGGGGATTTGATGGAGGATGGATGGTTACTAAAGGAGGGGATTTGATGAAGGATGGATGGTTACTAAAGGAGGGGATTTGATGAATATGGATGGATTAAAAGAGACTACGATTAATAAAGAATTTAGTGGAAAGAGACTGTGCTTGATGTTAATGAATTGAAAATAAATTGATTAAATGGAAAGAACTGTGCTTGATATTAATGAAATGAATAGAAATTGATTAAATGGAAAGAACTGTGCTTGATATTAAGGAATTTAATAAAAATGGATTGAACGAAAATAGAATATTCTTGATATTAAGGAATATAATTAAAATGGATTGGATGGAAAGGGACTGTGCTTGATATTAAGGAATTGAATAGAAATGGATTGGATGGAAAGGGACAGTGCTTGATATCAAGGAATTGAATATAAATGGATTGGATGGAAAGGGACTGTGCTTGATATTAAGGAATTGAATATAAATGGATTAAATGGAAAGAGATTGTTCTTGATATTAAGGAATTGAATATAAATGGATTGAATGGAAAGGGACTGTGCTTAATATTAAGGAATTGAATATAAATGGATTAAATGGAAAGGGACTGTGCTTGATATTAAGGAATTTAATATAAATGGATTAAATGGAAAGAGAATGTTCTTGATATTAAGGAATTGAATATAAATGGATTAAATGGAAAGGGACTGTGCTTGATATTAAGGAATTTAATATAAATGGATTAAATGGAAAGAGAATGTTCTTGATATTAAGGAATTGAATATAAATGGATTGAATGGAAAGGGACTGTGCTTGATATTAAGGAATTGAATATAAATGGATTGGATGGAAAGGGACTGTGCTTGATATTAAGGAATTGAATATAAATGGATTAAATGGAAAGGGACTGTGCCTGATATTAAGGAATTGAATATAAATGAATTGAATGGAAAGGGACTGTGCTTGATATTAAGGAATTGAATAGAAATGAATTGAATGGAAAGGGACTGTGCCTGATATTAAGGAATTGAATATAAATTGATTGTGCAACTAAATCCCTCCAACCGACCAGAAAAACGTTGTAAACTCCTTGAAAGTTTTAAGGTCTGAAATATTTTGTCAGATTTGCGTCAAATACAGATATAAAGTTTGATATTTAATACACTATTGATCTTCTCCGAGATAAGGAAGAGAAACTACAGGGTGTTCCAATAAACATGGGAATTAAGTGACGACTTCTATACGTCTTGTTTTGTAGTATTCCAGTTGAAGCAGCTAATAATTAAAACTACTAGTCTTGGGTATTCCAAAATGTGGTTTACCATAACTTTACATTCAAAACTGACGGAGTTATTAATAAATCTGTCAAGATTCTAATTTATTTTATAACATCGAAATCTTTCAAATTTTTAATATCTCCGTCAATATTGAAGACACAAAGAAGGAAAATCACATTCCAATAATTGTAAAAAAAAGATGGATTACTTTGTATTTGTCAATCTTCAGTGACTTTATTTATCGTTTTTAAATTTGTTAAATCTCACGAAAGTTGATATTGCAACTGACTAATGTCAATTTGTTATGAAATTCTATACTCCGTTGTCGTGTTAAAAATATTTTTTAAAGGATTGTTAACAATATTTCAAATGACTCTTTAATAAAGATTTTAGATATATTTGTAATAATTTGGATATTTATTTGTCCTTTTATACATAAAAACCAACAAATAAGAGTGGATAAACCTATCGGGCCTCAATATTTTGTAACTTTTTTATGTTATAGAAAGAAAAATTCTTTAAAATTATTTCTTTATGATTAATAATTAAACTTAAAAGAAGAAGATTTTTTGTAGGTCCTCACACGACCCCAGGGAAGGATGGATTATTACCAAATAATTTACAAATTAAATCCTTTAGAAAAAAACCAGCAATGAAAGAAAAAAACGTCATGAATTTCTCTTCGTCCAACCCCCCCCCCCCATCTTCTGGTTCCATCCCAGATCTACAGTGACCGTTCATTAGGGTAGAGCTGGTTGCTGATCACTGTTCCGGTGTTGGGGGGGGGGGGAGTATCCTTAATGGGATGCCGGGGGGGAGCCAACGTGATGAGAGGAAGTGGGGGAGTAGCCACCGTGATGAGAGGGGGTGGGGGTGATTAAGTATCGTTTGACCGGTAACCCTAAGCTGGTCTACCAGCAGGACCAGTATATAACTTCAACAAATCCTGATCATCTTCAGTTCTCCAAGATCAGTCAAAAATATCATGGATTTATCTATCTTTTGCTTTACTGGATATTCGTTTAGGATTAACATATCTCAGTGATAATTCAACAGATTAACATCACTGGGTTTTGTTTTCCTCAAACTGATATCTCCATTCTTAAGTATACCACTATTTACAGTTTGGATTACTTTCAATTCTTCATTTTTTATCGTTTTTATATCTTTTAACTCATTCGTAGTTTATCTTAATCTCTTTCAATTCCGTTAGTTCTGGAGGAACAAGTAGCAGTGGGATTGAATTGCATTCTCACTGGTTCATGTTCTTCTCAAGCTGAACCTTGTCCTCGACTTCGATATCAACAATTCATTCTACTTATTCGTAGTGTTTTACAGGAATTAAGTCGCAACATACTTAGTTTTGTCTGTCTACATTATGTACTGTGAATATTGTGTACATGAATATCACAGTTACATAACCTTCACAGATGGAACCATGTACATATGTTTCTTGAACCATAGATTTAACATATTCATCAATCTTGGAACTATCTTTATTCTGTACAAGCTGCAGTACACGCCATTGCCTGTGTCATAATCTATTTAGCATAGCATAGTTCTGAAGAAACAAGTAACGGTGGGATTGTATCGTATTCTCACTGGTTCATGTTCTTCCCGAACTAAACCTTAATCTTCATCTTGGATATCTGAT